TGTAAACATAAATATGATAAAGTAATTTATATAGTAAAATCATATCATAGTATTGCTTATACCACATATATCAGGTACAAAATAATAAGCACATATAACATTCAAAGATACTTCATATCTATGTATAAGCTAAAAGTAACTATGCACTCATCTTGTTTTAAGGTGAAGACTTAGAGTTATATCAACACTCCAAATGCGCTTCAACTTTTCTTTCAAAAGAACATTGACGTAAATATTACTACGTTCAGTCATTGTTTATATTATTCGCGTCCATAGTTATAGTTTCTTTAGATTTATCAATAATCCCAAACGAAACACCGACTTATAGTTGATAAGAAACAACCAGGTAAAATCGTAATTGAGGTAGGATCCGTTTGGCATATAAAGATATATTGTTTGGAAAATCCACTTTAAACACCTACCTAATCTTACATGATCATCATCCCTATAAGTAGATCAATCAGTATAACGACTGGTATTACTGATAAATTTCATTTATAAGTTCATAATAATGATTATAAACATAAATTAAGTTATACGTAAAGCACTGGAAGTATAACTCAACTTATAGATTGTTTGACGAAAAACAGACATTATGTAGGCAGAACTTTGATACCAAAAAATCTAATTCTCGTGGATCTCTAGTGCTATAAAGCTTTGCTACTAACGTCTCAGTTTTTCCTTTTAAAAGACATGGTTTTCTAGAGAAAACTTAGAACTATGTGGCCAGAACTTTGTCATTGAATCTTTCTTCTAAAATATTCTTGCAGCGCTTCATCGCTCAGCTTACTATACTAAAACTATAGAAAGAGAATTCGAATCATGAGGGACCAAAATGCTCAAGGTGAGAAGAGAAAAACTCTTGAAAGAGACTTTGTGCAAGAAATATGAGAGCCTAGAGCCTCATATTTATAATAATTGCATTTTCAAAAAGCACTCTTGATAGTTACTTAAACGACTAAACGACCCTTTATAATACTATTTTAAATAGATTTAACGATATTTGTAATAAACTAATGTCAAACGTATTCAATATTCGTCTTATATCAACCAAATCTTTGATACCTTTCTAATGATATATATATATATATATATATATATATATATATATATATATATATATATTATGCTTTATTTTACTATGTAAATATGCTATTATAAATCATAACTTTTCATACGAACTTTCTTCTCATTATGAGGACATCAACTTTCATTTAGACTCCATTGGCTAATTCTCATTCTATCTCAACTTTACAAAACTGTATTGAATTCAACCTGGATTTTGTTTTGAGATTAACTGTATAAGCTGGACCAAACTACCACTTTTAATAGCTTTTTGTAGCTTTCTCTGTGAACTTGTTGCTTTTCTCATAGCTTTTTCGAAAGCTGACCGAAATACCCTTGCAGTAAAAAAAAAAATTGGTGTAAACATTGTTAAAGTAAGCCATGTCAAAACAAGTTTCACTTTTGGCATCTGTTTACAGGACCTAAGGAAGATGACGTATGACATGCTCCTTTTAATACTCACCCGTAGCTTTACTTGACCAGTGTGTGTGTGTGTGTGTGTGAGAGAGAGAGAGAAAGAAAGAAAGAAAGTATTGGACAAGGTTTAATTTGTGTTTGGTGCCTACATGACTTTGTGTAGACTTTCACTTTTTATTCAAAAAGCCCACTTAAAGAGATAGAGCAAAGTTCCCAAAAAATCCTTGTCTTCTAGTGTAAGCATGTGTGATCCCTTTTGACAAAAATAACAGATTTTTATAGAACATTGGGAACATATGCACATGTTTACCAATAAGACATCACCAATCCATAGAACCACGAAAAGCTCACAGGACCATGCTCTTTTTAGATGTTTGAACACTGGTTTGACCAACATACCCCTCTTGCTTTAATTCTCGACCCCAACAAATAAAACATGTCTCAAAAACCAAGCCAAAAATGATATTTTTGACAAGAATGAGTTAAAAATGTTATTTTTACAAATACTAGCATTAAATACAAGTTTTGTCCAAAAGAGGGTCTAAAATGTTATTTTTACTAAACTTGGGCCTTAATTGTATATATTTTGGCTTAATGGGCCAAAAATGTTATATTTTACAGAAGTGGGCTTTTTATGTCATTTTAATAAATATTTGAACCACTACTAGCAAAATAATAACAAACGGGCTAATTTTGACGTTATCATGTTATTGGGCCTTAGTGACCCATTTATATGATTGATAGGTCCTGAATACTATTAATATGTTTATTGGGCCTCATTGACCCATTAATATGCGTGACAGACGTTGGATACTATTTACATACAATTTGGGACCGTAAATACCTTACATGTGAAATGGGCCTCGGTTGTCCTTTTACATATATTTTGGGTCCATGTTATATAATCTCGTTCCTTTCGGGCCTGGAAATGACTTATATGTTTAATGAGCCTCCGTGGTTTGTTTACATGGTTCAATGGGCCTGGAATGAGTTTTATATGTTTCTCTTCACGTAAATTCGATTAAGGATCTAGTGAGACAAGTCAGTTGACACCTATTGAGTGTACGATCGTAGCCTGTAGTTATTACTATAGTCTCTTGGAAGGAGAGCGGGGGGTTTGTGTATAGATGTATATGGGGATGATACCCCACACCTGAGCTGTTCGCTACAGTTAGACTACACCAGTCTAGGGTGACGAAAACCTTGTTATATTTTCCATTGGCGTTTAACAACGCCAAGACAGGCGAAATTGTCATTAATTAGTATGGTTATAACGACTCGCTTAGAGGAATATTCTAACGGATGTTTTGCTATATTTTGTTTCATCACACCTTAATCATTTTGGCATTTAATATTCAAACACAATACTCGATTTAAACAATGTATGTTGTATTATTACATGTGTGATGATGATGATGTTTTGTTTCAATTATATACTATGTGATAATACTACAATGATGAAGTCATGCGCAAGCCCCCGGAAGTTTCCACCGTCTGGTTCGGGGGGTGACAGATTGATATCAGAGCATTGTTTATAGTGAACTGGCATATCTAATCATACTGGATATGCAACTATAAATACAATGGGACTAAAACCCTCTGAATAAGATGATACTTAAGTATGCAATAAAACAATAACACTAAAAGTCTTTGGAGTAAATTGAACACTTTGATTAAACTTGGACAATTATGTAGTCATATTGGAAATAAATATAGCATGATCAACTATATTTATTTAAAATATGACCAACATGTGTTTGGGAGTAATCATGGCGAGAAATGGATCTAGAAGCTTACCTCGTATCCAAGAACTCTAAGGAACTTAAACTTAAACAATTAAAATACTATAAAATTATTTTGGGAACACTATATACATACTCTTCTTACACGTCTCTCACCCCTCGTGAAGATACTGTGGCTATATTTCACCATCCTAGAGATCCCTATTTCCCCAACCAGGGGAATGGTGGATGGTTGGAGCCAGAGGAAAAACCAGAGGAAGAGCCTATAGGAGGATTGACAGAACCGGTAGCTGACTCAGATGAGGAGGAGGATTCTGGCAGCGACACATATGACTCGGACGCGGAGTCCGAAGTCATTGATTCGCCCTACATGGCCAGGGTGCCCCTATACAGGATGCGCCATAAATGGTTTCATAAGACCTAATGGGCCGTAAACTATAATCATGGACTTCTTTGGGCCGTGAACTCTCATAAGGTCCTAATAGGTCGAAATTTTTTTATTTTGGGCCTCATGAATTCGAACTAGCTCAAGAAAGGGCCCAAACTATCTCATTCCTTTTTTCCTTGCCCCATTCTCGGCCCAGTTAAAACAAAAAAAAAAAAAATCAAAAATATGGAAAATCCTTAAGAAGACACCTCATTATTAGCTAGAGGACACCCAAGTTAATTACATCCCAAATAACTATTCTAATATTCTACTAAAATATGTAGATATGTTAGAATATTTTAATATTTTACTTGAATTTTTAGATTTGTTAGAATATTCTAATATTCTGTTAGAATTTTTCGCAATATTCTAATAGAATATTTTAATATTCTAGTAGAATATTCTAACATTCTAAAATTTTGATTTGAATATTTACAGTATAATATTCTATTAGAATATTTCATGTATATTTAATAAAGCGGTAATTTTTTTTTTAATAAAAGAAATGACGAAAATAACATTTAAAAAGATTTATATATTCATAGTTATATTCTCAAACTTTTTGGCAACTTTGCTCCTCATTCTTTGATCATTTTGACACTTTTGGTCCTTGCAATCAATAATTTTACACTTTTTAAGAACCTTTTAATATTTAAAGTTTGGTCACAAAACTTTAATGGTTAGACAACTTTGATCCGTTTTCGAAAAAGTTGCTAACTCCTACCTCTTTAATTCTTTAGCCATTTTGACACTTCGGGTCCTTACAGTAAAAAATTTTACATTTTTTTCGTAAAAGCATGAAAAAAAACGGTCCGGCGCAAAGCCTGGGCTTTTCATCATTGCACTTTCTACGTCTATCATGTTTGTCGATTCGAAAACATCATTGAAAGCTTCTGGCCCCCGCGTAGCGAGGGTAAACTTTCTAGTTATTATTATTATTATTATCATTATTATTATTATTATTATTATTATTATTAAAGATGTGAAAATTTTTAACAGTTCTTTCCTCTTATTTTCCAGTTATTGGCTGGATTTTTTTTTAGTTTTGGTCCCGTAAATTACATTCCCAGTCCCTCTATTTTTATTTGTGTCACTTTGTTAATCCATTAAAGTATTTTTGTTTGTCTGCCACTTTTTTAATTTATTAATAGGATAAATCTATATATTGTAATTTTAATGGACTTACTTTTTCGTGGCATATCTTAATGTATCCCACGTGTGCCATTTTCTCCGTTCTCTCCATAAACCCACCGCCTTAGGTAACCTTCGTGTCACAAAGCCAGAGAGAGAGAGAGAAAAGGCAGCAGATGTGTCGCTATTGTCGGTCCAGAAAGAAATGACAGTAGCCGATGAAGACGACGATCGATTGGCTTCCGATATTGACTCTGAGTCGGGATCGGAGTCGGGGTTGGGGGAATTCAGTTTGTTCTTCAGATGATGTAAGCCTTTCGCTTCCCACTTCCTCGATTGAGCGTTGGGTAGCTCGCAGTCTCCTCAGAGAAGGAGTTTTCGGTAACTCTCCTTCTTCTACCTGTGTCACCGTCGACGGTGCTTCTGTTGCTTCCATTTGAAGCTGACGGCGTTTTGTCACCTACCTAATCCCTTCTCCATTTCATTAGTTATATATCATGTTTTATTTGGGTGTTATCGCTTCCAGAAACTGCTATCATGTTTTATTTGGGTGTTATCCCCTCCAAAAACTACTTATTTGATTCTATTTTGATTTTATTTTACCTCTTCGTGGGTAGTTCTTTGGTTTAGCACACCACGTGTTTGATGAAATGTTTGATTCAATTAATATTATAAATAAATCCTTTTTTGTTCAATTTTTAAATCCAACCTCCTGCATACCCGACAATCTGAATGAGGTACGCTTCAGCCCGAAATTCTTCACTCCGTATCAACTTGCTTCTCTGATTTCTCATCCATTGAATAACACCATGATGGGCATGAGTAGATGTGTAGCAAAACAAAACTTTTGTTTTGAGCATAGCTGATAATTTTTGGAAGGATACAGAAGTAAGAAAGGTTTCCGTTACGTATTTATATAGCAATTTAAACACTTTTTAAAAGTAAGAAAGGTTCATGTCACATATTTATATCACAATTCAAACTGGTGTTTCTTTTCTTATTGTAGGAATTAGTAGTTTCTTCTTTAGGTTCGTTTAGCCTCATCTTGGTCTCCTTACGTTTTTATCCTCTTCTGATGTAGGGTTGATGGCCGTTTTTTTCCCATGCCATTCAATGTGTTCGTATAAATTCATACTTCAGGTATCTATCGTTACACAGCTTTATAAATTTTAGCCCCAAATTTATACCAAAAGCATGGAAGTAATAGTCTATTGGCAAATTAGTCTTACGATTTCTCTTATAATATGGAAAACCCAAAATGTGATGGATCCCTTATTTTGCAGATCACAGTTTCAAATAGATCCCTTATTTTATACCAAAAGCATGGAAGTAATAGTCTATTGGCAAATTTATACCAAAAGCTGGGTGGAATTGGAAAAGATGGGGGTACATATAAAAAACCCACCAAAGGGCTTGTAGCCCAGCGGTATCAGGTGGTGCCCTTACTCTTTGAGGTCGAGGGTTCAAGTCTCGTCGTGGACATAGGTGGAATAGGTGTTGTTAGCTTAGAAGTACATAAGATTTGCCGGTTCAAAAAAAAAAAACATATAAAAAACCCCTTAAATTAAATGTAAATAAGTGAAAGACTATATCATTTGCTTATATTGCAGAGCTCCATTACAAACCAATAAAATTATCTATCAAGTCAAATGATAAAAAAAATATTTAGCGTTGCATATATAAACAGAGTTAGATACATCATGTACCGACGACGACGGCGGTGGCGATATCTGATACGAGGAGGTGCTGGTGGTCGTAGTCTTCGCAGAGAAGAAGCAAGAGGTGTTGGAGGAGATCGTGATGGTTTGAAAATCACAAACTTGGATCTGAACGTCAAGAATAGTGAAGAGGGCAGTAGAACAACGACGATCGAAAGAGGTGAAGGCATTCTTTCAGAAGCGATAATGTTGCCGGTGGTAGTGGTATTGGTGGGGGTAATGCAGGCGTTCGAATTTATAATATCTGATTCATAAAATGTTGTTCCAAATTTATAATAATAATATTAATATTAAAATATAAAAATATTTTAAAATCGATTTTATATAGCCGTTCGAATTTATAATGTAGTCCGAATGTTAAAATTTTGTACGAAATTTAAAATAATAATAATGTTGAAATATAATAATAATAATAATAATAATAATAATAATAATATAATTATAATAATAATAATAAATTAAAAAATAATTTAAAAAAAAAAAAAAAAAAAAAGACAACCCGGTAGGTGATCAATGATTCCATCCTAGCAGGTGGTTCGGTTAAGCATGGCAACCCAGTAGCAGCTCCAGCTCCTTCTTTGCCTTCAGTTTTGGAATCCCGGCTCCATGAACCTAATCAAGAATTAAATGTGAAAACTAATGATGCACCAATTGGTTTTCGGGTGGTTTTGGAAGGTTATCGGGTATTGTTGATTCAGAAGATAATTTAACTCATCCTCCAGGATTTTCTAATAGTAACAGCTTGGCTGGTTGTTCGGATGCTTCGTATAATAAAGGGTCTTTCTTAAGTGAGATCTAAAAAACAATGGAGATGGGAAAGGCAATGGGATACGATTTGGAGGGATGTTATGATCGGGTAAAAGAAATTGTTGAAGGGGCCGGAGATAAAATAATGTTGAGATGAATTGTCTCTCCATCAATATTCAAGGAGCGGGTTGTATACATAAACGGACTTAGGTTCGGAACTTGTGTCTTAAAAATAAGGTGAATTTGTTGGCTATTCAAGAAACGAAGATGGAAGTTATTGATGTTTGTATGGCTCGGTCTTTTGGGGGGAATAATTCTTTTTCCTACGCTTTCTCTCCTTCTCGTGGAGCTTCGGGTGACATTCTTCTTCTTTAGGATTTGGATTTTGTCTCTTTTAAATACTCCCATATCTCGGATTCTTTTACGGCTATCGAGGCGATATGGGCTTCTTCGGGTCTTCCGGTCATGTTTATTGTGGTTTACGCTCCGCGAGGGGCTGATTCCAAGCGTCTTCTATGGGATAAATCCAGCTTATTAATTCTTTCCAAGGTGACTATGTCTTGATGGGTGATTTTAATGAGGTTCCCGATGATTCGGAAAGATTTGGTTCTATGTTTCACTCTAATACAGCCAGGAGTTTCAACAATTTTATTAAGCAGGCGGGTTTATTCAATGTTCCTCTTGGTGGTCCTCGTTTTACATGGAGTGACAAGCGGGGTTCAAAATTTAGTAAGTTGGATAGATTTTTAACTTCTCGGGGTATTTTGGATGCTTTTCCCCATTTGACAGGTATGGTTTTGGAGAAGTATACTCCGGATCATAGACCTATTTTACTTTCGGAGCATAGAGTTGATTATGGGCCTACTCCCTTCCGTATCTTCTATTCTTGGTTCCAATTCGAAGGGTTCGATGATGTTGTCAGAAATTCGTAGTCCCAAGATCAGAATTTAACCAAGGTTTCGCATCCTTCGGTTAAATTTAAAAAAGAAGCTTCAACTACTTAAAGCAAATATTCATATTTGGAACACATCTTCTAGGGCCAAAATGGGTTCTAAACGCATGGAACTCCAAACAATGTTAGAATCAATTGATTCTTCTCTCATGACGGATAGGGGAATGCCTCCTTACGGGAGCAGCGAGTTAATATTCTTAGGAATATCACAGAGCTAGACCATGTTACAAGTTTGGAGTTAGCCCAAAAGGCGAAAATCAAATGGGGCATCAAAGGTGATGAAAACTCGAGTTATTTTCATGGGGTTATAAATAATAAGAGAAGACAAATGGCTATTAGAGGTGTTTTGAAGGATGGGTGCTGGATTGATGATCCTAATACGGTGAAGGTGGAATTTCGTGGTCATTTTCAAACTCTCTTTTCTAAGCAGGAGGGTTCTCGGCCCCGAACTCAAGAATCCCAGTTTTCACATCTGTCGTCTGATCAAATCCAGTTTCTTCATGCTCCGTTTTCTAGAGAAGAAATAAAAAAGGCAGTGTGGGATTTCAGATCTTCAAAAGCTCCAGGTCCTGATGGCTTCACTTTTGTGTTTATAAAGCGGTATTGGGATATTGTTCAGGATGACATTTTTGACATGGTGTCACATTTTCATACGCATTCGTCTATTCCAAAGGGATGTAATGCTTCCTTTTTCACTATGATCCTAAAAATTAGAGACCCAAAGGTTGTAAAAGACTATAGACCTATTAGTTTGATTGGTTGCCAATATAAGATTATTGGTAAACTTCTTGCAAATAGATTGGCCGAGGTTATTGATAGCTTGGTTAGTGTGGAGCAATCGACTTTCATAAAAGGCAGACAGATTTTGGATGGTCCGTTTCTTCTCAATGAAATTGTAGCATGGAATAAAGCTTCTAAGAATCCGGTTTTGATATTCAAAGTGGATTCTGAAAAAGCTTATGATTCGGTTTCATGGGATTATTTTCTTGAAATCATGTGAATTATGGGGTTTAGCTCTTTGTGGTGTAATTGGGTTTTGGAGATGCTGTCTTCTGCTACAGTCTCCGTCCTGGTGAATGGTTCTCCATCCCAGGAATTTCAAATGCTTAGAGGTCTGAGACAGGGGGATCCCCTATCTCCTTTTCTTTTTGTCTTGGCCATGGAGGGTTTGCATGTGGCTATTACTAGGGCCCATATAGTTAATGCTTATAGGGGAATCAAGATTGGGGGAATTTCTATTTCCCACCTTTTATATGTTGATGATGTAGTTCTCGTGACAGATTGGAATCAGGAGAATGCACTTCATATTGTACGTATTCTTAGATGTTTCTTTCTAGCTTCGGGTCTGAAAATCAATATTCTTAAAAGCAAGTTGTATGGAGTGGGAGTCACGGCTAATCAAGTGTCTTTTATGGCTAATTGCATGGGGTGTTCCTCGGGCTGCTTTCCGTTTTCACACTTAGGGGTTCCCGTTGGTCAGAATATGGCTAGAATTGATTCCTGGGCTCCTGTTGTTGATTCTTTCCGGAAATGATTGGCGACTTGGAAAGCCAAGTGTCTTTCTTATGGGGAGCGTATGACTCTAGTTAAAGCTGTCTTGGGTTCGGTTGCTAGTTATTTAATGTCCATTTATCCGATTCCTCTTACAGTGATAAAGGAGTTAGAGAGATTGAGATCAGTGTTTTTTTGGGGTGCTGATTTGGATGATCGTCGTATGCATTGGGTTAGGTGGGATAAAATTATGGCCCTGAAAGAAGTTGGTGGTTTGGGAATTGGAAGTCTTTTTGCCTTTAATAAGGCTTTATTATTACGTTGGAAGTGGAGGTTTATTCATAAACTAAATTTATTATGGGTGAGGGTCGTCAAAAGTATATATGGTTTGGGGGATAATAATAATTCTTTGATTCCAAGGAGACAGTGGAAAGGTCCTTGGAATGGTATTACAACGATTGTAAATAATCTCAAGGATAGGGGATTTGATTTCCATAACCTAGCTCCTATAAGAGTTGGGGATGGGGCGTATACTTCCTTTTGGCATGATAACTGGCATGGCAATTCTCTTTCAATTTGCTTTCATCGTGTCTTTGCGTTGGATATGAACAAATAAGCTAATGTCAGGGATCGTTTTTTAATGGTGTGGAACACTGATGTCCTTAGACGTATGCCTAGAGGTGGAATTGAAGAATCTCAATGGCTTTCTTTTTTGGAAGTGGTGGAGGGTGTTCAACTTCAAAAGGTTCCGGATAGATTGGGGTGGACGCTTGATAGTTCTGATTCTTTTTCTGTTTCGTCAGTTAGATTTGCATTGGATAGTGCTCTAGTTACTTCGGATGACAGGGGTACTAGATGGAATAATTGGGTCCCTATTAAGCTTAATATTCTACTATGGAGGATTCAGCTTTATTGTATTCCTACGAGGGAGAGGTTATCGAATAGAGGTGTTATGGTCCCTTCTATCATGTACCCAATTTGCATAGTTGCAGTCGAGACTATTGAGCATCTTTTTGCTAGTTGCTGCGACTAACGGGATATTTGGGGTAGGGTTGCTATATGGTGGGGTTTATCTTTTCCATCGCACATCTCGGTGCAGTCCTTAATCAAATAGTCGGATGGGGTCAATTTGAGTAGAGGTCAACGAAAGGCGTTTGATTCGGTTATTATTATGTCTTTCTGGTGTTTATGGAATTTCCGGAATGCGTCTGTTTTTGGGACAACTTTACCCAAAAAGTCGGGTATTTTTTATGATGTGGTTGAGAAATCATTTTTTTGGATTTCTAATAGATATAGTAGGGTAAACTTACGTTGGACCGAGTGACTTCATACCCCCCTCTCTTGCTACTTCTTTGATGTAATTTTTCTAGCCCCTGGCTAGTTTTTGTTTTTAATAAAGTTCTGCCGTTCAAAAAAAAAAAAAAAAAAAAAACAACAAAAGACAAAAAATCAAATGAGCAGGGGTGGAATTGGAAAAGATGGGGGGTAAATATAGAAAGCCCCTTAAATTAAATGTAAATAAGTGAAAAGACTATAACATTTGCTTATACTGCACAGCTCCATTGCAAACCAATAATACTCTCCATCCAAGCAAATGATAAAAAATATTTGCCTTTGCACATATAAACAGAGTTAGATACATCATGTACCGACGACGACGGCGGTGGCGATATTTGATACGAGGAGGTGCTGGTGGTCGTAGTCTTCGCGGAGAAAAAGCAAGAGATGTTGGAGGAGATAGTTATGGTTGGGAAATCACAGATTTGGAAGATCTACTGCAATAATGGTAGGAAATTCGCAAATACAGAGGCCGCGGGAAAATCACAGATCTAAAGGCTGATGGAAAATCAAAGATTTGGAGGCTGTTGGAAAGCCGCAGATCTAAATGTCGAGAATAGTGAAGAGGGCGGTAGAACAACAGTGGTCGAAAGAGGTAAAGGCATTCTTTGAGAAGCGATGATGCTGCCGGAGGCGGTGGTATCGGTGGGGGTGATGCAGGCGGTGGAAGGTGTTGACGGTGGTAACGATTGTGTGTTATTCAAAGATGGTGGGAGAGTTGGAAAGG